TAAATGAAATTATGATAGTGTTTTAAATTCTAACTAAAAGCCACTTTTAGCTTAGTTAAAGCCCTAAGTTCAAGTTTTCATAAACTAGTTCGAGGAGCATGGCTTTCAAATGTTTTGATCTGAAAAAATAACAATATACATACCTTAATATCTGAAGAATATTTTGCTCTTCAAAAACAGAGGAGAAATTTATCTGCACAATTTAATTATTAAAACAACTCAAAAGGATTTGTTCCAATATAATGAAACCTTGCATAAACCAACAACCAAGCAATTGTATAAAACTGAATTAATTTTTAATTTTTCCCCTGAGGTACCTTTTGTTGAATGGTGGAATGTTTTTGCTCCATTTCTCTTTTCTCCTTTGCTGCATCCACAACCAGTCGATCCAACTGTAAAAAGGGAAAAAGAGAAAACTGTAGACTTAAAAAAAGGTATGGATTATTTTTTCAAATCATATTCCAAATCATTTCACAGATAAATATCATTTAAAAATCACTCCATTCAAGCTTATTTAAAAAGGTTTCAGCTAAACTTTGAAGTAGAAGTTCATATTTTTTTCTGCTATCAAGTTCTCTCTGAGAAGATCCAAACCTCCACTAGAAAAAACATTTCCAAGAATAGTCATGGTGCCACTACATATAGAGGTCTTATCACAGGTATTGCGATGATACACGTTCAATCCTTGAAGAAGGAAAATGACTCTAGCTGAAGCTGCCTGCTGACCCACTAAGCAAATTCTGGTACTTAAAAGAAACAAAGAAAAAAAAAGAAACAAAGAAGACACTGGTGACTTATTTCTCAAATAGCAAAAAGTAGTGCAGCTAAACTAGTGCTAAACCAGCTAAACCAGCTCTCACAAATTCACTCTAACAGCTACTTCCAATCATTCAATATCCCTCTTCATGTTTTCAGGTTGGCTCCCTAATATTATAATCAAATCTCAAAAGAAGAAAAAATAATTCACCAGATAAAAGAAAAAGCTTAAAAAAAATAGTAATCATTCATAAGACCAAGGTAAGAAATCAGCAATCTTAAGGATCATTTTTAAAAGCTCAAAAAACTTAGTGTAAGATTATAAAATCCATTTCTTTCTTGTTCCTTTGCTTTAGAAAGGATGATTTTCCTTTCCATCATAAAGGAAGTATTTGATTTCCAGTAAGATGTGATGAGAATCACACCTGCTTCCTAAAATCCTATTTGCTAAGCTAACAATAACTGGGTTATATATTATTGTGTGGGTTTCATTGTTTAGACTATGATGATGCCTTTCGAACTCTGAACCTCCACCACCTCTAAATGATTAACACATGTTCGATAAACGAATAAATTAAAACATACATATCAGATCAGCAGGAATATGATAAAGATAAGCATTAAATGTCTAAACATTGTAAGCTGTATCTTTTAAAAGCTACATTTTTAAAAAGTCTTGGTCACAGATAATATTACTGAATAATAAAGAGTAACAAAAAAAAATACCCAGAACAGAAATGAAACAGAACTATCACTATCATAAAGTACCTGATATAGGTGGCAACTACACTATTCTACTTTAGGATCTAATACATACATACCTTAGGGACATGCAGCATTGATTTAGTGGGTAAAGCTGTACATGTTGCACTAGGAAAACATACCCTCACAACAGCTTCTTATGCAGAATGAGTGGACTGAGCATCCTATGGTTTTTATGGCTCTAATTGTGTGGCATATAAATATTATTCATTCATTCATTCACACTGAAGTACAGTACGAGGTAAGCCCCAAATTCAAAATATTTACAAATATGCATGCATATACTTTGCATATGAATTCTGCAATGTAGGTGATGGTTTACTACCTAATTGGTAATAAATGTCTCTTGCATCTCTAACCCCACTGTTATTACAACAGAAAAATAGGGACAATTCCCCCTCTCTTATGGGGAAAAAATATAAAGAAAACGTGTCTTTCACGATGGGGGGAGTTTGAGGAGAGGCATGAATTGAGGAAATGTGAAGACTGGCAGAGTCTTATCTTCTAGACACCAGGAAATGTATCAGGAAGATAACTTGGAGCAGAGAAAAGTCTGTGTTAGTATTGGACATTATGAATTTTAATAGGTACCTATAACTAAGCAGGTATCCCTGGTCCCTCTTCGTTTTCAATCCCTTCCACTCCCACCAATCTCAGACATCATCACTTCTCTTTCTCCTTTTCAACTTCTCCCTGTTGAACTAGGCCCATTCCCATCTGTTTTTAAGTTGATGCAAATCCTTCTACCTTAATAAAACCTCTAACCCATACTCTTCTTCCAGCTACCACATTCCTTCCCTCTTTCCTTCATAACACAACTTCTTTAAAATATTGCCACCTTCTAAACTTGCCCATTTCATATTCATCTACCCACTGTAATTCAACTTCTACTGCTTGAGTCCCCAACTTCATGGAAACAGCATCTCTCACAGAGGTAACAACTTTTTGCTGCTAAATCCAACAGGTATTTCTCAGTCCTAGGTTTACTTAACTTTCTAATAATTAAAGCTGATAACCACTCCTTCCCTTTGAAACACTGTTCCTGGCCTATGATGCCAGTCTCCTATTTTTCCACTTCCTTGCTCATCTACATCCTCACACAGCTTCTCTTACGCAGCCATCTCAAAAATCAGTCCTTCTTAGGTCCCTATTCCAAGTCAGCTTCTCTTTTTACTCAATACCAGGGGACCTCAACCTTAACTTACAAAATAAAAATCTTCACAATGTCTATGCACCTAGATTTTTTTTTAAGTAGCTCTATGGGGCCAGGTGTGTTGGCTCATGACCGTCATCCCAGCACTTTGGGAGGTCAGGAGATGGAGATCCTGCCTAAGATGGTAAAAACCTGTCTCTACTAAAAATACAAAAAATTATCCAGGTGTGGTGGCACATGCCTATAGTCCCAGCTACTCAGGAGGCTAAGGCAGGAGAATGCTTGAACCTGGGAGGCGGAGGTTGTGGTGAGCCGAGATCACACCACTGTACTCTAGCCAGGGAGACAGAGTGAGACTCCATCTCAAAAAATAAACAAAAATAAATAAATAAAATAGCTCTATGGGTCAGGTGCAGTGGCTCACATCTATAATCCCAGCACTTTGGGAGGCCCTGGTGGGCAGATCACGAGGTCAGGAGTTCCAGACCAGCCTGGCCAACATGGTGAAACCTCATCTCTATTAAAAATAAAAAAATTAGCCAGGCATAGTGGCATGCGCCTGTAGTCCCAGCTACTCAGGAGGCTGAGGCAGGAGAATCGCTGGAACCCAGGAGGCGGACGTTATGGTGAGCCGAGATCGCACCACTGCCTGTCCACCAGAATGAGACTCCGTCAAAAAAAAGAAAAAAAAATTTTAGAAAAAAAGCTCTATGATTCAGAGATATCTAACTCACCTCCCATCAACTCACCCACTCTTGTGATTGCAATCAGCAACTATATGCTACTGACTCAGTGTATGTCCCTCTCTTGAGCTCCATACACAACCACTTACACATCTTATCCTCACAAATTAATATATCTGTCAACTCCTCATGCCCTTCCACCCTCGAACTGACTGTATCTTAACGCTCAAATCTAACCATTTCTATCTCTACTGCCATGTAGTTAGTTTCAGATGCCATTATCTACTAATTACGAAAAGAATATCGTAACAGGCCACCTCCAACCCGGCCATCTTATCCACTAGGCACTACAGGGTCTGTGGCTTAGATGTTGTTTTCCAAGGACCTGCAACTTTATTTGAGATCTAGAGTAGGAGAAAACCTATAAAACTAAAATGATTAAATGTCTTAAAAATACATAAGTATTTCAGCTAGTCAACTGCAACTGAACTCATACTGCTTTTATAAATTATGCTGAATGTGAGAGGGCAATCTAACATTTGATAGTATTATGAGGATGTCTAAAACCTAGGAAGGTCTTTCCTTCCCCCCAAGTCTGGCTTACATGTCCTGTCTAAATGTTCCGAACACTTTGAACCTTTCCGATATGATGGAAAAGGCCAGCTGTCCCTCAATTTCTATTTTCTCCTTCTTCCTTAAGAATGGACCCCCTAAATTTTAGCAGGTCACGTGGCTACCTGGTATTAAAGTTAATGTCCCTTTCAACTATTGTGACCCTGTGACTAAGCACTTGGCATTGGATATACTTAGAAGTAATATGTACAATTTCTAGGAAATGTGTTTAAAGAGAGAAAATGTATCTTTCATTCTTCTCTCCTTCTTCCTATTAGCTGTAATTTGGGTATAATAGCTAGTGACTTGATTAGCCACTTTGAACGATGAGTTAGAATAAAAAAAAATATGCCTGCATTCCTGCTAACCAAGTAGCCACTATACCATGCATTTGACTTTACATAAGAGAAATAAAACTCTATTTTCAGCTACTAGTATTGTCAGTTTTCTATTATTTGCAAGCAAACCTAATCCCAACTGTTACACCCACATAAGGTATTCAGCACAGAGATTACCAGTGTGGTGACTTGTTGGTTTCTCCTGAGAGACTAAGTTCTGCCAAGGCAGAAAACAGAATTCATGTAATCCATGGCATACACACATACACACACCACACCTGACATACACTCTGGTCAGTAAATTCAATTCCCATTCCACTCTTAACTTTTTCCTTGAACTCTATTTTTCTTTTTTTTCCTTTTTTTGAGACCGGTTCCCTTTGTCACTCAGGCTGGAGTCCAATGGCCCAATCTTGGCTCACTGTGAACTCCGCCTCTCAGGCTCGAGCAGTTCTCCTGCATCAGCCTCTGGAGTAACTGGGATTACAGGCATACACCACCACACCTGGCTAATTTTTTAATTTTTTTTTTAATTTTTATTTTCCCCTCAACCATTTAAAAATGCAACCAAGCACCTTAAAGTGTACAAAACAGGTGGCTGAACAGGCTAGTTTGCCAGTTAGCCCCTGTTCTAGCTACCAGGGAGTTTACCATTCATCCCAAGAGACTTGGCTCTCTTTATCTACTGAGACAAAGTTGCTTCCAACTGAATGAGTCTATTTTTATTCTCTGGGTAGACTCTTCCAGTTAACTACTTCCGTTGTAGATGGTGAAATGTGTAAGGCTCCACTTCAGATGTTGGCACTGCTATGAGGATGGTCTTTCCCTTTATTGCAAATCACAATCAAAACCTTTGATTCTTTTTTACATTCCAGTCCCAGAAGTAGTTTCATAGAGGTTAATTGATGAGTCTTAATTCTTTCTAGTAGCTTACAACCAGTCTCTAGCTTCTCCAGGAACACTACAGGATGAATTTGGTTTAAATATATATTAAACTACAAAGCATTCTCTCGAATGAGTTTAAATGCATTTTATTTTTAGACAACCTACATGACATGTTTTTCTTAAAAACAATGCCTCCACTCCAAATAAATCATGGTCAAAATAAATAAAGAGCTCAAGATGACATCAGTCCCCTTTCTCTTAAGTCCTGGTGCTTTGTGGATGACAAGCAGAAGCCAGTTACAATGACAGGTGATAGATCGGAAGTAACTGCCAATTATGTTAACATTTTTCCATTTCCAAATCATCCTTAAAGAAAATCATATATGGGGTCACACCATCCTCACAGTAGTCCAATACCATGCCATCTGGATTCATGTTTTCACCAATAAAGAATTGGTAGTTTTTGAAATTAGCAAAGATGTGCTTGCTTTGTTCTACAGCCTTTGTCATAAAAGGTTTTACTCTTTCTGGTCTCTGTTCAAGTTTGCCTTTAATTGATTTCATGTAATCTTTGATGTACTTCTTGCAGGCTTCTTTTGTGGAATGTGTTTCCTGCAGGTGATGGTTCATGACAATATCGACACCAGTGATTACTGTGCTTTCCGTACATTCGCCCTCAGGGCCTTCCGCGGAGGCATTTCCACCAATAATCGAACCATCAATGTTACCTTCTTTCCTACTGACCATCTTCCTCTCCACCTCCAGGCACAGCCCTTCAGCGATCTCCCGGATCTTGTATATTTCAGAGAACATCTCAATGTGGCTGATGAGGTACTGGTAAATAATCATGATGGCGGCTGAAGGGAGACCACGGTGGCGCTAGGTTAGCAGGAGCCCAAAGCTCTGAGGGAGAGCGACGTAGGCAGAGCGGCACTCGGTGGGGAGTGGGGAGCCGGCGGAAAAGCTAATTTTTCTATTTTTAGCAGAGACAGGGTTTCACCATGTTGGCCAGGCTGGTCTCAAACTCCTGGCCTCAAGTAATCTGCACGCCTCAGCCTCCCAAAGTGCTGGAATTATAGGCATGAGCCATGGCGCCTGGCCTAAACTCTGTATTTCATCATTAATCCCCTTCTTTTTAAAACTAAACTGAAACATCTTGAGAAAGAAAATCACCTAAGAACACTGTTAAATTGAGAATGTTTCTCAATAAAAAACAATATCCCCAGAACAGATCTAATATAAAGTTCTGATCAGCTATGTAAAAATAATTTGAACATAATGAAATTTTTATATTTATAAAATTTGTATATATGTAGAGAACTATACATAGCCACAGATAGCCACATGTGACTGTATGAAATGAAAAGTACCCAAGAGCTCTGTAACTTTAAGATTCTAAATGTTTTTTATTCAAATAGCAAGATACCATTTTTTGGAAAATAAAAAAGAGGTATAACTCAAATAAAAAGCAAATTGGAACAATAACTCAATTATCCAAATGTAAGACATTTAAAAATAAGTCCAGTTATGTAGACTGCAGAACAAACACTTTGTTTTTAAATTCTCCTTTTCAATACCTTCATATACAATCTATACCATAAAGTTCTTTTTACCGTTGATTTCACTTTTGGGTATACTCAAACAGCAAACATTTGGGAATTTAACCCATATATAAATCTGCTGTAGCATTAAAATTCATTCTTCATTAAGTAAATGAAATGTCAAGTCCTCCTGATACGGTTTGGCTGTGTCCCCACCCAAAATCTCATCTTGAGTTATAATCTCCATAATCCTCATGTGTCAAGAGGAGGTAACTAAATCATGGGGGCAGTTTCCCCCATGCTGGTTCTCGTGACAGTAAGTGAGTTCTCACGAAATCTGATGGTTTTATAACTGTTTGGTAGTTTCTCCTGCGTTCATTCTCCCCACTACTACCTTGTGAAGAAGGTGCCTTGCTTTCTCTTTGCCTTCTGCCATGATTGTAAATTTCCTGGGGCATCCCAAGTCATGTAGAACTGTGCGTCAATTAGACCTTTCCTTTCTAGATTACCCAGTCTGAGGCAGCTCTTTATAGCAGTGTTGAGAACAGATTAATACACCTCCAATATGCTAAATTTCTTTAAAAATACAAATATCAGTGTATAAAACTGAATTAAGAAATATAGTGCAACATTACCTGTGCACCCAGATCCTTCATGTAGGGTCCAAGTTCACTAAACAGATCATATCCTTGATGAAAGAAGGCCAAATGGGCATACATAAATGATAACATCTAATGGGGGAAAAAAAGATGAACATTTTAAAATCTAGACCTAAACATTCTGAAATATTCTATATAGACAGACAGACAGACAGACAGACAGACAGGAGAAAGGATCTTGTTTTGTTGCCCAGGCCTGGCATGCAGTGGCACAAAGAAGAGTTCAATACAACCTGAACCTCCCAGGCTCAAGAGATTCTCCCATTTCAGCTTCCTAAGTAGCTGGGACCACAGGCATGTGCCACCATACTCAGCTAATTTTTTTATTCTTTTGTAAAGACCAAGTCTCAGCACGTTACCCTGGCTGATCTTGAACTCCTGGGCTCAAGCAATCCCCCCACTTCAGCCTCTAAAAGTGCTGGCATTATAGGCATGAGCCGCCGTGCTCAGCTCATCAAACCTATTTGAAAATTAAACTGAGTCATCTGTTTTAAAAGAGTATTTCAAAAATGTTTTAAAATACAATGAAAATAAGTTTTATTTAAAAGAATTTTCCCAGTGGTTTAAAGTTTTTTTTAATGCCCCAAATTTTAATTGTTTAGAGTATATCTAGGTGATCAAAATGTATACAGCAGATTCAAATAATCCAATTTTCAGTAACTCTTTCTACATCCATTTTTATGTGCTCCTTCAACCAAGCTCACTGACAAACTTTAAATTGTAAAAAAAGACAAAAAGATAAGACAGAGGAAAATAAAGTGCTCAAAATAAAACACAAACACTTTACAGTCTCCTAGAGCACCAAGCACAATCTCAAGTAGGAGAAAGCTGGTTTTTCTCTCAAGATACCAAAATAAAATGAATCAACTGAATTTGCCAATATGGAGGTTTCTTAAGTCATACCACCAAATCTAAAAACTTAACATTAATGGGGTGAGATTTGTCCAAGTTTTATCATATTTTACCTATTTTAAACAGAAAAATCACCCTCAATTTTATTAAGTTTTTACATAAAAGGAATTCTATAATTACATGAATAATACTGAAAAAATATTCTAAACATCCATGTTATTTTTAACAAGTGGCATCTGTTCAATTTTCTGAAGTCTAAAATAGGTCATAAAGTCCTTAATACTCAAAAATCCTCCAAAAAAAAAAAAAACTATTAAAACACAGAGACAAAAGGTAAAACTCAGAAGAGGAAAATTATTCTGGAATTAGATAATGGTAATCATTGCCCAAATTTGTGAATATAATAAAAACAAATGAATTATTTAAAAAATCAATTAAAAATCTTAAAAGAGGGATGGGATTAATAGCTAGGACTATGTAAAAATATAAAACATGCCTGTACATTAAAATGCAAAACAAGCATATTAAAAGACAATGATAAACTAGGAAAAAACACATGACAAGGAGTTAACAGTCTTAAGATGTAAGAGATGTTACAAATCAACATGAAAAGACGAACACTCCAACAGAAAAAGAGACAAACGACACAGGAGGTACATAAGTGGCCAAAAAAAAAATATGGAAAAATGTTTAAACTCATTTGTATTAACGAAATGCAAAACTGAGTAATGAGATCACGCTTTCTATCCACCAAACTAGGGGGAGTTTGGGGGAGAAACTGGAATGCTCAATGTTCGTAAAATGTGGAGAAATATTCATTTTCACACAGTATTAGGGGAAATACTGTATAACCCCTGAAATTGGACAATATTTTTCCAAAGCCTAAATCCTTTAACTATGTAATCTCTAGTTTATAAATCTATCCTAAGAAAATAACAGGTTTATTCATTAGAATGATCGCAACAATGCTAGCAATGTTTTAATGTCAAAAACAAGGAAATTATTTGAATATTCATTAATAGGTGAAATTAATTTGTGGTATATCTCTTCAAGGTCAGTAAACTATGACCTGCAAACTTTATTAGGCCTCACCAGTTGTTTTTTGATAGTCCATGAGTTATTAATGGTTTTTACATCTTTAAATGATTTAAAGATAATAAAAATATATGAAATTTATATGTGAAAACTGTATGAAATTCAAATTTTTGTGTTTCTAAATAAGTTTTATTGGAACACAGCCATGACCATTCATTTACATACTGTCTTTCTCATTATAATAGCACAGTAATTCCGACAGAGACCATGAGGCCTATAAAATTCACCATATTTACTACCTGGACTTTTACAGAAAACATTTGCCAACCCCTAGTATATTCACGTGGTAGATTTCTACCTGGCCACAAAGCCATCATCTAAATAAAGGATATTTAATCACATATAACTTCGCAGTGTATTAGTGAAAAAAGAAAGTTATAAAATAGTATGGGGGAATGATTCCAATTAAAAAATATGATTTTAAAAGGCATATATCCAAGTTCATGTACATATGTACACACACACGCATGCACACACACGCACGCACATACATGCACACACACAGAAAGAGAGAAAAAGATGAAGATGTATGCCAAGATATTATTAGTGGCTCCCCCTTGGTAGCAGAATTTCTAGGTAGTTTTTATTTTTTCTTCATATACATTCTAATTTTCTACAATTAATACACATTACTGTCAATCTGGAAAACAAGAGAGGTATAAACATTATCTTTTAAAAACAGGAAGTACAATGTGTTTACCTAATAAGATATGACACAAATATATACACAAAATTTAGAAAAAAGCTAGGTGGGGACAGAATCTAAGGCAACTTAAGTATAGCCTTATGGGGGAAATGTCAGTAAATAATTCAAAGTTGAGAGATTATTACTAAGGCTATCAAAATATAAAGAGTGCTATGCTATACCACATCATGCCCTGTCCACTTCTTCATTAGTTTTGGGGTTTTTTTTGTTTTGGGGGGTTCTTTGAGGCAGAGTTTCACTCTTGTAACCCAGCTGGAGTGCAATGGTGTGATCTCGGCTCAGTGCAATCTCCGCCTCCCAGGGTCAAGTGATTCTCCTGCCTCAACCTCCAAAAGTAGATGGGATTACAGGTGCCTGCCACCATGCCCAGCTAATTTTTTTGTATTTTTAGTAGAGACGGGGTTTTACCACGTTGGACAGTCTGGTCTTGAACTCCTGGCCTCAGGTGATCCGCTCACCTTGGCCTCCCAAGGTCCTAGGATTACAGGCGTGAGCCCTGGCAACCGGCCTTCATTAGTTTTAAGATCAAAAAAAGGGCTCCTCACCAAAAAACAATCATCATGTGAGTGAAGAGGCTCAAGGAAATAAGTGATCACCAAATTTCATCCCACTGGTTTTGTAACTGCATACCAAAGAAGAAACCAAAAGACTGATCCATCCTCAACTTTAACGGAAAAATTCTCCAAATGATACTATTCATGTAAATCCTCAATCTCAAGTATTTTTAAAGTCCAAACAATGCAAAAAATTACAGAGAAAAATGTAAATATGTAGAGAGGTTGGGCAAAAATGTTTAAGGCAAAACAAGTGAGAAAAAAATCCAAAGCCTAAATGTAACAGTTTTTTATCTTCGTAACTCTCAAAACAATTCTGAAATATTCTCACAGGTTTTCACACCAAACACTTTTAGTTATTCATCAAATGGTACTGGGCATCTAGTGCATGTAAAGCAACATAAGAGTATAAAAGAAAACAAAAACGGAACAGTACACAGTCTGCCTTCACGGACCTCACAGTGTATCAACAGATATATTACACAAACAGCTATAACATGAAGGAGACAAAAAGAAGTTCAGTGCCACAAATACAAACGAAGATCAAAAAGAAGAGCAATCATAAACCTTGCCATGTATATACCAGATGCTCTTTCAACACCTAAATATGTACATTTAGTTTCATATTAAAATATTTAAAACATCATTTCAATTAATATCTTACTGATTTTAGGATTTCTGATCTCCTTTTTGATTGAAGAACATTAATCTGAGGGAAAACACATCTGGTTAATCACCCATGCATTATTTTAAAGCTAATCTATAATGTAATATTGTAAAACTTGTTTATTTTAATGGTTAATACTTTTCCAAAAAGCAAACAAAAACACAGCTCAAGTTTTTGATCCTTCGACCATCCATTTGCAAAACACAGTTAAGACAAACATTCCCATGAAATCCTCTTACATTTCTGAGCTAAAAGAAAAGCTAGTTATTTAAACTATATTAGAGTGATGGAAGTATTTTGACATCTGAAGTTCTGGGAATTCCATCTTTTTTCCCCACCCTCTTTATTCTAATTGCTCATCAATATAAATAATAAAAATATAAATAAGATCATGTTACCTCTACCATAACACCCTCCAACTTCCTACCATGGCTGGCAAGGCCCACTGTGATGTGGCCTCTACCTACTTCTTTAACCTAGCTTTCTATTACTTTCCCCCTTTCTGTGCACCAACCACAGCCCAGGACCGTGTCTACCTCAATGCCTTTGTACTGACTGTTTTGTCTACATGTTGTGACGTTCTGCTTAGATGGATACAACGCTATCTCACACCAATCAGGTCTCAACTTAAATACCACCTCCTCACAAAGGTCTACAGTAGCTTCATATGCACTGTCTAGTATACCAACCCTATTTATTTTACTCAGAACATTTATAACTACCTTATATTTTCTGATTTGTGTCTTTCCCTAACCGAAGTGTAAGTTCTAGACAGACCAGGGCCTCTGTCTTAATCCCAGCTGTAGTAGCAACACTAAGCACTCAATAAATGTTTCTTAAATAAATTAACAGATTTTGTTTTGTTTTTAGAGACAAAGTCTCACTCTGTTGCCCACTCTGGCAGGAGTGCAGTGGCATGATCAGAACTCACTGCAGCCTGAAATTCCTGGCCACGCAATCCCCCTGCCTTAGACCCCAGCAATTCTCCCATCTCAGCTTCCCAAGTAGCTGGGACTATAGGTACATAGTACCAGATCCAGCTAATTTTTTTTACTTTTCGTAAAGATAGGTTCTCATTATGTTGCACAATCTGGTCTCAAGCTCCTCAATTCAAGCAATCCTCCCACATTGCCCTCCCAAAGCACTGGGATTACAGGAATGAGCCCCTGCACCCAGCCAGATCTTAAGTAAATGTTTTAATTAGACTAAATTTACTGAAAGATCATTAAATTAAGATACTTGCCTTTGATGGGATCTCTCCCAACTCTAGAAATTCACAACAAACATTTTATTTTTGTCTGTTATTATATATCAGCTTAATGAAATAAAATGTTTATCTAAGAAAAGAATCATTCACTTTTTACCAATACTGTCAAAAGATTATATCTTTTAAATATGTTCTTCCCACTGAATTCTATATTTTATCAAATAATTTCAAAGCACTAAATAAAACATTAAAACAGGACAAGAAAAATCTAAGTAACTTTACTTAACTATAAGACTAGTTTCTGGCCAGGCATGACGGCTCATCCTTACACTTTGGGAGGCCGAGGCGGGTGAATCGCTTGAGGTCAGGAGTTTGAGACCAGCCTGGCCAACATGGTAAAATGCCATATCTACTAAAAATATAAAAATTTGCCAGGCGTGGTGGTGGGTGCCTGTAATCCCGGCTATTTGGGAGGCTGAGGCAGGAGAATCACTTAAACCCTGGGGACGGAGGTTGCAATGAGCTGGGATCACATCACTACACTCCAGCCTAGGCAACAGAGCAAGACTCCTTCTCAGAAACAAACAAACAAACAAGACTAGTTTCTTCTGCATGTATTTCAAGGCCTATTGACTTTGGAGAACTACAGTATTAACTTTCAAATGCTCTAAGTAAAGCAGAAGCTGCAAATAGCCTACTACTCAAATGTTGAATTATGTTAAAATGTCTGCTTTATATGTCTTTTTTTCTAGTTGAAAAATTTTAAATGCTATATAAAATTTTTAAATTTAAATGTTATATATAAAAATGTAAATGCTATATAAAATAGGATTTTCATATAATATTTAAATTATATTATACAGCATTTAAATTCTTGGAGGAAAAAGGTAAACTCAAATATTTAGAGAAGCATGACAAATTTCATATATTTGGATATTTATTTACTTACTATTCTCTAAAGTAGACATAAATGAAATAAAGGCCATAAAATGATGCCATAGTTCCCATCAGAAAAATCACAAACATAGTTATTTGTTGGGTGATGGGGGAAGCGGTGGTTGGGGAGGCAGTGTGAGCATTCCTAACTTACAACTATTGTATGGACACCCAAGAAAATAATGTATAAGTTTAAAGATAATGAAAATTTTAGCTAACCCTCCTAAAATAAAATTTGTAACATTAAGCCATTTGCGCTCTCAAAAAACAATTATTACATATCTATTTTCTAACCACTAAACTAGATGCTAGGGATACAATTTATAAATAGAAAAATATATAAAAATAAATATTTACAATAAACATGTAAATAGTCTAACTGCCATGTGTACAAAAATACGGCAACACAGAGAAGGCAGAGGCAAAAATAATTCCTCTGGCCTGGAGAAGTCTGAGTAACCCTGATCACAAAACAGAATGAATTAATGACAGGGCAAGTAAAAGCAATGCAAGGCAGACCAATTTTATGAGAATATCTTAATACTCCAAGCAAGAAACAATAAGACTTGGTTAGGGCTGCAGCAAGGGTGAAGAAAGAACCAATTTAAGAGGTACATAGGAGAAATTTTCAACACATTTGGCAGCTAGATGTAATGGCTTAGAGTGAGGAGAATATCTGATACAATTCTCTCATTTTGAACTACTGAAAGAGTAAAAGAGTGACACCATTCAATTAGATTGAGGGCAAAATGGAAAGAGAAGCCATTTTGGAAAATGAGAGGCTTCAATTATGAACACAATGACAACGAAGTACCTCTGTGAAAAAAATATTTGGTCACCTACCTATAACAACAGGTAGTGATTCAAGTAAGGGGTATGATGAGACTGACAGAAAACAATAACGTAAGAAAATAATAAAACCAAAGACAGGACCCTAAAAAGGAAAGTAAAAAGGCAGACAAAGGAGTGAAGCCCAAGACAGAAATGGAAAAGAAACAGAAGTTAGAAGGAAGACCTAAAAGCAGATTCAGACAAATCAAGATAAAAGATTGTTTCAAGAAGGAGGGTTATGGCCTACCACTGCAGTAAAACAGAATAGTCAAGTTGGTTAAAAACTGAATTATGTCTAGTGAATAAAACCCTTGCATGAACCATTTCAGTGGGTTAGGCAGGCTGAGTACTCATATTACAGCAGAAAATGATGTATGAATGTGAGGTAGATAATAGGACCTAGGATACAGACTACACCAGTCTAGTAACCTTTCCTCCAAAAGTAAAGTCTATTCATTTTAAAAATTTAACTTCCCACTTACTGAATAGGAACTTAATAGAAAAAAAAACTTAATTTTCTATTGTTTTGCAAAGTTACCTAAGTAATTTTTAATCACTAATTTCTATTTGGTTACTTGTATACTTTTTAAGGAAGTACTCTGTGATCATCGTGAAGTAAACAATCTCTGAGGACAGCCACTACTGTTTTGTGAAAGGAGATTTACGTAAGGTAATTCCCTAAGCTTTAAAGGTTTTTTAGGCTTTAAATTCCATGATATACAGAAACACACAATATAATATGCCTTCAGTTTTCATGTGTCTCAAGTATCTTTGGAGACTTATCACACTCACACTAGCTTCAACTATACGTTAGACTGGAAGATGACCAAGCAACTTACCAAATACAGATTTCTAGTTTTTAAAAACAGCACCTAATGCAAAAATATGATAACACTACTTCTAGAAAGAGTTTTTATTTGGCAATATAGTGAGCCTTAGTACCTCTAAGAATCTACTCTAAAGAAATAAGAAATGTAAAGACGTTATTAACACTCACAACTACTGAAAATTATATTTTCCCTATTGTCAGTAAAACTTGAACATGATAAATGCCTTTTACAGCAACTTAGATTGAACTAGGGGCCCTTATCCTAAATCAAGTAACGAAGGAATGGAAAACCAAATGCCGTATATTGTCAACTATAAGTAGGAGCTAAGTTACAGGTTCTCAGGGGCATACAGAGTGGTATAATGTACACTGAAGACTCAGAAAGGGAGAAAGTAGGAGGAAGGTGAGGGATGAAAAATGTCCTGTTGGGTACAATGTATACTACTGGAGTGACAGATACACTGAAAGCTGACACTTCATCACTATGCAGTTCATCATGTGACCAAAAATCCACTTGTACCCCTAAATTTACTGAAATAATAAATTGGTATAATAAAGGATAAACTGATATAGCAATTCCAGAGAATAAAATATAGCAACTAAAAATGCTTTTTAAACATTTTTAAATGTGGAATATAATGTTAAGAGAAAAGCCGCAGAACTCAGAACCAAAGGACTATATATCCATACACACATGGATACATGAACAGCTACACAGATGGAAATTTTCCACAAAAGATAATGTTTTAACTTTAACCTCAAAGTAAAAGTATTTATACTTCTTAGGGCAATCACTGAAAAGTAAAAACCTGTTTAGTAGGCACTGTCTGAAAACATACACAGTAAGAAAATATATACCTGAAGCACATAATCGAGGGCTATATGTCGAAAACATTTTCTTGTTGCTGTCAGAATGTTGGTGGCTTCTTCAACTTCATGTTGTTTGTTTCTTTGTACTTGGGCATTTTTTACTAACGCATTTTCTTTTTCTTCACTGACTTTTTCAAATTGCTTCTTGGCATCTTTGAATTTTCTAAGATCTCTAAAAAAAGAAAAACTTGGTGAAACTTTTATAACTTGCTTCATTAAAAAACCTTAGCAGGCTGGGCGCGGTGGCTCACACCTGTAATCCCATTACTTTGGGAGACGATGGTGGGTAGATCATGAGGTCAAGAGATCAAGACCATCCTGGCCAACATGGTGAAACCCCGTCTCTAATAAAAATACAAA